GAACTTTACTATTGCTCCAAGGTTCCTCTTCTATTTCGGGAGAACAATAGTAAAACAAAAACTTTAGGTATAATTTGAAGGGAAGATATTCACCATACCATCTTTATTTGTACAATTTGAGGTACTTCAATTAACAAATACAGTCGGGCCTCTCTATAACAATATTTCTATATAACAATCATTCACTATAAAAATTAAGTTTTTCTCGGAACTAATTTTTATATTATGTTATAATATGCCCTTTATAATAGCACTTTACTATAGCAACCAAAATTATCGGAACAGATGAGGTCGTTATAGAGAGATTTGATTGTAAATTCAGAGGCGAATCCAGGATTTAAATCTTACGGATTCAACTTTTGAAATTTTTAGTATTGAACCCATTATATATTTAAAGTTATGGGTTCATATCTACTATTTTATAATTTTAATAAATTTTTACATATAAATTTTTACTCTGCGTCGAAAGTTATGGGTTTAATTGAATCTGTCCACAATGCACTACATCCGCCCCTGACTGTAATACCATGTAATGCTATATGTGATACCAGTGGCGAAGCCTGGTCAATTGACCACTCTTCGTCAAAAACTTACATTGTGTATATAGATAAAATATTACGTTTTAGAGATATATAACACATATTGAGCACCCTTTGTTGAAATTATTTTTTGCTTCTTTCAAATTTGAACACCCTTGACAAAATTACTAGTTTCGCCACTGTGTGATACGTCTATAATACGAGAAGGTAAACTAGCAAGAAAATAAGATTAATTTTAAGAATTACTACAAATTAAAGTGAGAATGTAATTATTTAACTATGTTTTTAAAATAATAAAAATTTATATGTGAGAAATAACGTGCAGCCACTGTTTGTCAAGTTGTACAAAACCGGCCCAACGAAATGGTGTCCATGTTCTGTGAGTCACAGTCAGTGACTCATAAATATACTCAATTGAATTGTAGGACCCACTCCACACCTCTCGAAAGAGCGCGTGAACGTACAACTCTAACCGTGTGGACTCTTTATATACGTCCTTCTAGTTAACATTGGGGCCATATACATACACTTTGCAAAGGAATTGTTACGCAAATAGCCGGTTAAATTTAATATTTATTTTTTTGGCATATATATATATATATGTTATACATTAAGTGTATACAGTTATATATATATCGATTATTTTTAATTTAAGAGATTAGGCAGGCGACTATTTGAATTAATATTCCCCTTTGCAAAAGTGTACACATTTGCAGAAAAAAAGGGGGTACATTTTGCTTCTTCCTTTCCCCCCTCTTTTTTCAATGGTAATTTGATATTTGAAATATACTGATTCGACTAATTTAAGTTCGTGATACGGTTAAACTTTTCTGTAACAACCATCATCTATAATATCACTTTCCTATAACGACTAAGTCTTTTTTAAACTAATTTTTATATTATGTTATAATATATTGTGTCTATAATAATACTTTATTATAACAACTATAAAATATCAGAACAAATGAATTTGCTCTAAATATGTTTAACTGTATTAGTACCCGCTAAAATAAAAAGATAATTCATTATATTTAGCTTTGGGTCAAGTAAAATGCAATAGAGCATGGTAGAAAGCAAATGAAGATGTTTGATGAAACTATATTTATTGACCTTCATCTCTTCTTTACCGTGTCTATGCAAATCAAGATATCATAAAGACGACAAATATTGAAATCATCATTAAAATAACACTAATTTGACAAATTTGAACAAGCACATTACGTGTTACACTATAATTCATTTAATTTATGGAAATTCAATAGCTCTTTGATGGAAGCAAGAGACAATTTGATAATTAAAATGCCATATAAAACAAGGTCAATTAGTTACTTCACTTAATACAATATCCTTACGTGTATCTAGTGATGTTCCCTCAATCCCTTATTGACAATAATCCCGCATTAACATAGTGGCCCGAGCCGAACTTTATAGGTTCAAGATTTTAGAACGATGACTTGAAGTACTAATAACTTAATTTTAAGATTCGGCAGAACACGTAGTTGAGCTTTTAGCTACGCCCCTAGACATTAGTAGATACCAATCAAATAAAGATGAAAAAGCAAAATTAAAGAATATTAATGTGAATGGAATTTAAAAAGAATAATAATATTTTGGTGATTTAATTTCCTCACTTTTAGAATCACAATATTATTCATAGATTTTGAGAGGATAGCAAGGGGGAGCACATTGTGAGAGTTGACTCCGGGAGCACATTGTGAGAGTTGACTCCAACTATATGCAGTTTAATTTTTTTACAAAATTTCTGAATAATAATAAATAAAAAAAATCGGCACATGATTTACTATCAGTTGTTTAAGTCGAGTATTCGTATGTTTCAAGTTGCAGAATTAAATTGGCAGTTATTATTTGCTTTCAAAAAATTCTTATGAAACGTTAATTCTATACACTCCTAATAAGTTCGATTTTGTTGTTTTTTTATGTAGTTACAAATGTGTAATTCTATATAGAAAATTAAATCACATATTTTTGCACTTTTATTTTAAGAATTGACACAATCAACGGTCAGAAAAAACTTATTCATGTTTTGACATATTACCTTTATCTCAATCACAACTAGAATATACATATTTTCAAAGTGCACTAAAGCATAACTTTTTAAAAAAAGTATACATATTTTTATATTAATTTATTACTTAATTATTATAAATTAATATGTTTAGTATATAAGCATTATATACGAAACTACAAATAAGTGTTTACCCAAAAAATCCATACATGAAACATGACAGAGAACTTAGCTAGCAAAATCTTAGTAGGAGTAACTATAGACAGTAAATCTAAAAAAACGACAAAAACGTACTTATTTAAGAACATAATGATTGAAACAAGATTCGCTGGAATATCGAATCACTAATTAAGATGTATAAACAAATTTACACCATCTTCTAAAAACTTTAAGCAAAGTCAGGAAAGTCACAAAGACGAAGCACACAAGACCAATTTGAAAATTACTACTTTCCAACACAACATTCCAAATATTTCACACCACATATAGATCAATTTAAACCATTTTCCAAAAACAAGTTTTAGTATATTTTTACTCTACTAGTATTAGTTATTAAATAGAGTACCAAGAAGGTGTGGCAGAATGAAAAAGATTTTACTATCACTAGTAACTACGGGTGTAGAAATGAAATCGACAAACCGCATCAACCCGATAATTCGAGTCAAATCGAGAAAAAAATTCCGACTATAGTTTGGTTTGGTGTTGGAAAACAAATCCGACCATATTTGGTTTGCTTTGGTTTTAACTAAATAAAATTAAACCGAAATCAAACCAACCCGATATTATATGTATAGAAATTTTAAATATATTAAATACATAAATGTATTTATTGTAGTGTAGTTTATAAATATTTCTTAAGTTTTTTTTATAGTTTTATCTTTTAACGTTTTATTTCAACTTTGTGCTTATAATTTTTGGATGCTCCAATAAGTTTTATAGTCCATAAATATTAGTAACACAAATAAATCCTAAACCAAAATCAAATCAATACTAATGCTAATAAAACATTCAATTCAATTATACTATGAATGAAAATAGTGTTGAATATCTATTTTTTAATTTTTTCATGATTTAGATAAAATGTATAACTTATTTTTCTTTTAGTGGTTAGTCATGTAAATAATAGTACTTATTAGTCGTAATTTTAAATTATGTTTGTTTTCATTATGGCCTATTAATAATATTTATTTTATGCAATTTTATTATCTTTATTGTTGAATATTTTAGTACAATGTCATGACTCACTCATATTTATGTTATTTTATTGAAAAACACCTTATATAGTTCTGTCTTACTGGGATTAAAGAAATATTTGGAGCATAAATTTTATGTTTTGTGCTATGAAGACTTTATGAAACCCCCTCCTGAAAAAATCCGAAAACTCGAGATTAAAAAACCTGACTTTTATTGGTTTTTTGGTATTTAGGTTTAATAACCCGATAAAATTGGTTTGGTTTGGTAATTAGAAAATCCGAACCAACCCGACCTATGTGCAACCCTACTTGTAATGGTAAAGTTATTTTCGTGTAACTTATAGGCCACGGGTTTGAACAGTATAATCAGCCATTAATGCTTGTATAAGGGTATGTAGGCTGCCTAACATCACATCTTTTAGGGTGCGACCTTTTTCTCGACCCTGCGTGAACGCAAGATACAGTCAAACCTCTCTATAACAATTTCGTTTATTCTGAATATTTTTGAATTTTATAACGAAGTATTGTTATAGAGAACATATATTATAACATAACATAAAAATTGGTTCTGGAAAAGCTTGGCTTTTATAGTGAAGTATTGTTATATAGGGATGTTGTTATACAGATGTCTGATTGTACTTTGTGCATCCGATTGCCCTATTTGTTTAGAGATTTCAAATTCGAACTCGACAATAGAGTTCTCCGTGATAATAATCGTAAAAAATTTATATAGTGAATTTTTTTTATGTTGCCGATTTGGATTAATCAAATCAGTGGTTTTAGACACCAACAATAACACCAGGAACTAAACTTTACCTTTACCTTACGTAAGGTTAAAAGGTTGTTTTGAATAAATCATCGCCCAAGCAAAATATTATATAAATAAATTTGCTATGACAATCTTTTTTTTTTTTTTTTTTTTTTTTTTTTTTTTGCTAATTAACAATCTGAATTAATCATACTAGTAATTCTGAACACAGAACAATTAAAGAAAAAAGGTTATTAAATGAACCAAATATAAGTTATTACTAATCACTTTTTCTCCTAAAAAGGGAAAAACCCATTTCATTTTCAAAGCTTTACTTTTTCTTAAGATTTGTACTGCTTGGCATTGGCTGTCTCCTTATTTCTAGTCAGAAATTTCTTTTTTAATCTAAACATATTAAATACTTTTCCTATTTTCTTCTCTCTATCTCTCTGTTCTTTTAACGCGTTCACGCGTTTACAATTGTCTCTTATTTGTGGTCACCTACTATATATATTCCTCCATCTTCCTTCTCTCTTCCGCAGGTGCAGACTCCAATTTCACAAAAAATTGTTCTCTGCATCTGCTTCTTATTATTAAAAAAAAAATCCCCATTTTCCAAAAATCCCCCCCCAAAAAAAAACTTAAACCCAGTATTTTTCTTGCTACCATATTGAGGAAAAAAAAAGTGGGTAGTCGAAAAAAATACGTTCTTGATTTTCCGGCGAGTATTTTCTTGATTTTCCGGTGAAAAGATGCCGTCGTTAGAGGAAGAATTGTTTCCGTCAACGCCGGGAAAGTTCAAGGACAGGAACCGGCATTTCCACAGATGTTTTGCTTCAACAAGTACAATGTTCCTTTGGGCATTATTCTTAATAGCTATAACGGCGTCGTATTTGTGTTTCCAATCATTTATGGATACCGGTAACCGGTATTTCTCCGCCACGTGGGGCGGTCATCATTGGGAGAAACAAGTCCGTACTTCTGCTCAGATCCACCGTTCTAACGGCATGTCCGTACTTGTTACCGGCGCAGCCGGTTTTGTCGGGAGCCACGTCTCCCTCGCCTTGAAAAAACGAGGCGACGGAGTCGTGGGACTCGACAACTTCAATAATTACTATGATCCCTCGCTTAAAAAAGCGAGGAAAAATCTTCTCAATAATCACAACATTTTCATAATCGAAGGTGACATTAACGATATGCGGATGCTAACAAAGCTATTTGAAATTGTTCGTTTTACGCACGTGATGCATTTAGCAGCTCAAGCGGGTGTGCGATACGCGCTGGAAAATCCAGGTTCTTACGTTCATAGTAACATTGCCGGTCTTGTAACTCTTCTAGAAGCTTGCAAGAATGCTAACCCGCAACCCGCTGTTGTATGGGCCAGCTCCAGTTCCGTATACGGGTTGAACGAAAAGGTTCCATTTTCTGAATCGGATCGGACTGATCAACCCGCTTCGTTATATGCTGCAACGAAGAAAGCGGGTGAGGAAATTACACACACGTATAATCATATTTACGGGTTGTCAATTACCGGGTTGAGGTTCTTTACGGTTTATGGCCCGTGGGGCAGACCCGATATGGCTTATTTCAGTTTTACAAGGAACATTTTACAAGGGAAACCGATCACGGTTTATCGGGGCAAGAATCGGGTTGATTTGGCTCGGGATTTTACTTACATTGATGATGTTGTGAAAGGGTGTATTGGGTCGCTTGATACGTCGGGTAAGAGTACCGGGTCGGGTGGGAAGAAACGGGGACCCGCTCCATACCGGATTTTTAATCTGGGTAATACGTCGCCGGTGACTGTTCCGATGATGGTTGGGATTTTGGAGAAGCATTTGAAGGTTAAAGCTAAGAAGAATTTCGTCGAAATGCCCGGAAACGGCGACGTTCCGTTCACACATGCGAATATTAGTTCGGCCCGAAAAGAATTCGGGTATAAACCGACAACCGATTTGCAAACCGGGTTGAAGAAGTTTGTTAAGTGGTATCTCTCTTATTACGGCTACAATCAAGGAAAGTCTGTAAAGTGATAATATTCCTTTTTTTTTTCTCTTTTTAATTCTTTTTCTTCTTATTGTGGTTATTTTAGATTTTTTTTTTTCTAAATTACGAGGAAAAAAAGAATTTGGAGGAAGAAAAAAGGAAAAGAAAAGGTGAATACCAATTCTTATTTTAATTGGGGGGAAAGTGGAGAGAAGAAGATTTGATAAACTCCCTTTCCCCTTTGTTAGAAGATATTGTTGTTGCTTTCCTTGTAAAGGATAAAAAAGTTTCTCATTCTTTGTCTCATATTATGTCTCTTACTTTTTGTGTAAACTTCTATGCACCATATTCTTGTTATTCTTCTTTTTTATAAAAAAGTATAATAAAAATATCAAATGATACAATACATTTATAGTGTAAAAACTATTGCTACTGCCTATTAGTAATAAAATAATTAGCAAAATGTTACTAGTATAAGTAAGGATTCAATAGTTCTAAGGTCAATAGAATTTGCACCCAATATGAAGCATTTTTCATCCAAATAGTTAAGGTGGTAGAGTTGAGTTTGTAATTTACATTAGTGTTTATATTAAATCATATTAGTTTATTATAACTAGTATAGAGTAAGGTAAAAAAGTAATAATTAAAGTATGGTTGAGTAATAATTAAACACATCTACAGAATCATGTATTCATAAAAAGTAGTACCAAGTACAGTAACATTTTTACTTTTATATTAGTATTTTCTTGTAGAATGTAGTTGGAATTTGGATTGCCATATGGTTTTTGCTACATATTGGTGTTTTTATTAAGGAAATACAATTAAATTTTTTTATATCAGTTTTATTTGTTTTGATAATTTATGGTTGATGTAGTGAAGGGTTGTTATATATAAAAAAAGAAAACTTGGCGGTAGTAGTGAATTGTTAAAGGACAACATGATGCATAAAGCATCTTGCGTTCACGCAGTGTTTGTGAAAGGGTCGCACCCAAAAAGATGTGATATAGATAATCTATCACTAATGTAAATATTAATGTTTGCTTCCAAGGTTCACACTCGTAACATATATCACACAAAGATAATTTTATCGTTAATTCAATACATTCAATACAACTGTTATTATAGAAAATAATTATTATAAAAAGAGTTCGACTGTATAATTGTTTTGGTAAAATATTTAGTAGTAGTAAAATTTGTATAGGCAAATGGGATTTTTTAAAGACAGCTAGGTTGAGCAATAAATAGTGGAAAGGGGACAGCTAAGCTTTGACTGTGAAATACGGCTGTAAAGGATTTTTATTAAATTTAGGGATCCACAACCATGTGAATGATGTAATTGCTCTTATTAAAGTTTTATTTTAGGCCGTTGGATTGAATTGGGCTGAATCGTGCGGATGCGATCCAACTGTAAAGCGTCAATCTAAGTTGTACTGTATTCTACTATTTCTTGGCTTTTTCCTACCGACACTTCGTTCAACTCTTGGGTTTTTGTATTTTTTTCAAATTTCAAAATTGGGTTTTGTGGGCCTACACTGTTTTTATGTAGGGACAGAAAGAGGGGTTTATATCCTCTTTTGCCGACTTAATCTCTTAAACTAAAAATAACTAATAGATATATAATATATATAACTCATGTATAATATATATATAATATATATAATTAATATTACTTAACTTTCAGTAAAAGGAAAAGCACTACCTACCATAATTTTTTCTATCCCTAAAGCTTAATACTAATTCCCGATACCTCTAATTAAGGTGGAGGAATTCGATCGACTTCATGATAATCTTTGGTGGTATTGTAATGTCCTCTATCATCACTCCAATAAAAAAATCTATATAATTTTCTGAAAAATCTTAGTCGGGATAACAAATTAATTAAGAAAATTCTTATGAATAGTACTATTTATTTATTTTTTATTAATAACTTTGCTAAATTTTAAACAACATTTATTTTGGACCGGAGAGAGTATGAATCAGAGCGAGTTAAACAGGTAAAAATCTCTTTTTCTAGTTTTTCATTAAAAAAAAAAAGCATGAATATATTTTTCACCAAACTCCATTTGGGATGTACTTTCTAGTTTCCCCCAAATGGAAAAATTAGTTCAGATGTATTTTTCAAATTTCGCAGAAAATGAAAAATTGTTTGTGTTTAATTGACAAAAGTTTCAGAAAATGTGAAAAGGGTTTCAAAGAAAATTTAAACGCTTTTTGAATACAAACAATGTTATAAAAAAAAATTAAATTATGGTGGATGTCTACTCGTCCTTCATGATCTTCTCAAATGCTTAATGACATATTCAATGACATATTTCTATGCTTAATGACATATTCAATGACATATTTTTCTTCACTTTTCATGCCTATATAAAGGCCTTGTAATAGATAAGAAAATACACACAATTGAAGAAGAAAATATCTTCCTTCTCTCTATCTCTATTTCTTGTTCGTGTTTTACTAAATTGCTTTTAATTTATAACACGTTATCAGCACGAATTGCTCATTTCATGATCTTCTACGTCAAGACTATGTAAATTATAAGCAGACAATGAGATCAAGTACAATGAAAAATGTCTTGGATGATAATACAAAGATAAGTTTTACATCCATCTAAACTCATTCATAGTAATAATATTTTTACCATCACATGATGTATTTCATTGAAAGCAAAATTATCAAATATGTAGGCGATTTTACAGTACCTTGCAAATTTGGCATTCGAATATACAATCAATATAAACTCATTATAGTTATAATTTATAATAGTCACAGTTATGCATTAAGCCTTAAATATTTTTGCTGGAAACATAAGGCTCATTCCTCCGTATTGAATTTTTTTGGTGAAGTTCTTATAGTCTTTGAAATATAAGTGGTTATAGCTTATCTGCATCTTTTCCCTAATTAATTTATTAAAATATAAAAATAATTGTATCATTTTAAAAAAAAATGGCATATATCCTAACTAGCATTTTTGTTGCAGAGGAACTGTTTCAAGATTGAAATAGTTATATATGTCTTTTTGAAAGTTAATTTACTTATACCTATAATTATGAAGTAATAATATTTTAAAGGTTCGAGTGCGAGTCCTAGTGATTTTTGGCCTATTATGCCAAAGATTGAGGGTAAGACGATGGGTTCAAGTCCCAACGCACTATGTTGATAAAAAGACGCTGGATTCAAGTTCCAACGCATTATGACTTAGCATGCCTTTATATGGGTAAGGCATTGGGTTTGAGTCCTAACGCACCATATTGATAATAATAATAATAACTAAAGAAAAAATAATATATTTTTCATAAAAAAATATGAAGCTTGTCCCACTTGATTTGCTTCATTCTTGAAGTGAATGTGATAGCAGTACATGATAAGTCTAAATAAAGACTAGTGATTGAAAAATAAATGTGGGCGTGCGAAAGGCCAAAATAATAATAGTTATCACTATGGTAATTATAAAAAAGGAGAACAAGACAATATTTACCATCAAATTGGTATGAAAAAAATAAAATAAAGCACATTGTATGATTATACTCCATTCTTTGAAGAGAATGTGACATGTGATAAACATTGAGAATGCATACTCATTCCTGAAAGTGAATGTGAAAATATATATGTGATAAAGATTATGCATAATAATGTACTAGTGCATGGTTGGATAAATACTACAACTCACCTCTAAGGGGGGTTTGAGACAAAGAAAGATAATGAATATTATTGTGTACTTACATGAATATATCATTGGTCGCATACATGTGATACGCCAAATATTTTGTCAAGCCTTATGAAAGTTATTAAAAGCAAAATTAAAGCAAGAAATTATTTTGCTTATAATAATTTTGAACATGAGAATTATTATGATATGATTCTCTTTATGAATGAGACATTCATTATATGGATGGTGTGACAAAAGATCTAGTAGTGCAAAAGCAGTTAAGAGATCTGAAAGAACTAATTTGTTACTACCCGAATGAATGAAATTGTTCATGACATTAATCTTGTAGTAAGTCTCAAAAGAAACATTTTGATTTACAAATATATTAGCCAAAGTGGTTGGCATATTGAGACTATAAATGAAAAGAAGATTGGATATCTTTATATTACTATAATCATACCGTGTAAATATGAAATGTTACCTGACTTTTCTTCCATTTGTACTACACAAGTATAAGCATGAT